TTCTCACACAACATACACTCCACACTCACACACACACAACCCCCACCCACACTCACATTCAATTCAAACTCCATATTAAACAGCAGTTCACACAGACACAACACAAACTCCATGATTACAAACACACTCGAAACAAACGCGATTCACACACCTACACGCAACACAAATTTCACATTGGATAGCAATTCAGACAGACTCGACAAACTCCACGCTTACAACACACACGACACAAACAGCTCAACACCGAAAGACAAACTTCACACTTTACACACACACACACACACACGGGATGCAGAATGAGGCAGGGAAGCGGTCTTTAAACAGCTCCTTAAATACTCGCCTAAAAATAACACCTACACCACATTAGAGCATCCCGGCGCTACCAGATCATTAGCAATAATCCAAGCCACTCACTAGAGAGAACAATTCGTGTTTCATCACAACTGGAAGCAAGCCCAGGAGAGAGGGCTCCGCTCAGGTGAGACGGTCTCGGACTGTACTGCTCGGTACCCATCGGGGCTCGGATCCGTGGCAGACCGGACCGGTACCGGGTTAAGGTTACGCACACACGGACGGACGGACGGACGGACGGACACGGGGCTCTGTCTTCCTGCGGAGGTCGGCGGCTCGGCGAGACCGACTCACCGTCGATGTAGCCCAGGGAGAAGTCATCCCCGAGTTCGGAGAGAGTCGGGTCCATACTGTCGACCGCCGGCAAGAACTCTCCCTCCATCGTCTGGGCAGGACGGGGCTGGGACACCCCCCCACGATCGGCTAGGTCTACCGTCCCCGGCGGGTGTCAAAGCGTGCGATCCGCTTTCGAACAGAACAAGGCGGGCTACAAGAGCGCCTTCGGCCGGGACGCGAGAGCTGTCAGAGGGCTGAGCACCATCCACAAACCCCTAGGTGGCCATCTTGGCTGCCGCGGTGACGTCATTTACAAACAGTGGAAGGCCGCCAGCGGGGATTCCGATTGGTGGATCCCCGGCTGTTGTTGTCATGAGACCAGGCCCCCCCAGCCAATCGGCGGGCTCCGGCCGCCGTGGTCTGATAGTACGTCAGCGATCAGACGCTTTCGGCTGCTTTGCATTGGCCCCGCCTCCCCCGGGGCGGTGGGCGCGGCCCGAGCGCCGATTCTCCAGGAGCGGCTTCCGGGCGGCTCGCTCTGCCTTCTGCATGAGGAAACTCCTCCGCGGTTGTTCATGAATCACATTTAATATTTAAGTTCTGTCATTCGGCTCACCACGGGGTTTTTTATTTATTTATTTGCGTTATGTAATTCATTCCGCCAGTCAATAGTTTCCCGTCTCCAGGGATCTTTTAATGATCTGGCCCTGTTAGTCTACATTTAAACCTTAAAATAAAAAAAGTCCTTGTTTTCTTTCAGCTCGTTGAACTGGTAAATGCAACGGGTCAGCAGCTCCTACGACCGGCGTTCAGCCGTGTCGGGAGCCGATGTGAGTTTGGTGTTTCCAGACTCGGATGTGCATGAATTACAGATGCCGAACTGACGGGTCTGGTGTCTTCTCGCCCGAACTAAGCGGTACTAATCACTGTGTCAGTCTTCACTAGCGCAGACAACACCCGTGCAAGATTTGAATGAATTGCTGCTGCTGTCTTAAGAAACATACTGCACATGTGTATGACTTCTGATCGTGTGTAAGACATCTGCGCAGGAGCCTGAAGGAGGACAGAGGATTAGACCAGTATATTGAAAAGACAGGACACTTTGAATATCCCAGTGTTGGCTGCACCTGTACATGCAGCGTGTCGTGTTTCTGTGCCGAACGGTACCCATGGGAGTCCAGCTCTTTGACTT